GTGCTCCAAGTATAGAGCGAATTTGAGGATTCTAAAAAGCTTCCAGGATTTTTTAAGAATTCTACAAAAAGTGTAACCGAAGTTATTCGCCAACCTAATATTACAACAAAATATCACAAAAAGTAAAATATCAATCATCTTCCAATCTCTCATCTCATTCGCGAAGTTCTAACTGAACAGAGTGTATGAGCGATTTGCATCTCTGGTACCAAAGCCATAAAAAGCGGGTGCATTCTGGGTGCGGCTTGATTTATGACTTCGCCAATTTCCGTCGGGAGAGAGAAGCATAGCAACTTATCTCAGAACATTCCATTTACAGAGATTTCGCAAAAGAAACGAAAATTCGGAGCCTAAATTTAGAGAGGGAGAGAGAGCTGGTAGTTATATTGAATTTAGTTATCTCAGAAGCTGAAGAAAACTCGCTCCAACTATTCATAATTATTCTTCTTTCTAGCCATTTTTCCGATTTCAGCATCTGATTTTAAGCTAATTTATCCGTCTTTTTGATCTGTTTGGCTTTCAAGATAACGGTAAGCTTTACTGAGCGAAAATTTATACATTATGTTCATGCAATGACTATGTACATCTTTGGCACAAAAGAGTTGACTTAGAGAAACTATACAATTAAGAGCACGCAACCCTGCTGGAATGCTTTTGTTTCCTAGAGGATTCGGCCTTGGGTAAGCATTCCGAGGTGTACAGGGAGATGCGATGAGTCTGTGGAAGTTCCCGCGAGATGATCGAGTACAGCTTCTCGAGTTCCGATGCCAAAAGCTAAATCAGTCTTTGGAGAATCACGCAATCAAAAAACTGGAAAGTGTTTCTTACCTGACTGTGACTCAGATCGAGGATAAGATGCTGCAGTCGTCGGGTGTCATTGAGATAGGGGGCATATTGGGAAAGTACTTCTTGGATTTCCTCGTTCGAGAGAGTGGAGACGTCGTTTCCGAAGTCTAAATATTCTGATGTAAGGTGCAAACGATTAAAGTCAGATGATTTTCTAA